CTCTGAGGCTTTGCCAGAGCATAGCCTCAGAGGCGCGGGACCCCTCCGCCTCCCCGGCTTTGCTCCAGGTGTCCCTGGTCTGGTGGAGATGGTCCCCAGCAGACCAGGGGCACCCGGAGCAGCTTTCCTCGCCCCGGAGGTCGAGGTGGTGGGACCGCTGCGCTCTGGGCGGTCCTGCTGCCTGCGAGCTCCGGGGCAAGAAAGCCCCATTCGTAAGTGCGGATCCGACATAAGTCGGATCCGCGTAACTCAGGGACTGCTTGTACTCAGTTTTTCCTCTCCTTGCAATCCATTTTAGTTTCTTTAAACTGACATTCTCTGCAAATGGAGGTCCTTGGAACAGGCATAACCAAATAAATGCAGCAGGTAAAATAAGTTGTAATGCAGGGAGAAAAGTCACAGAATGTAACATGAATCATCTTGTCACTTAAGGGATAATTGTTGTTCTATTAGTTGAAAAAATGAAAAGCATGGCCACCCACCTCCAGACAGCACAGATCAACTAGCACAGAACTCCTGATTCTCAGATTTCTTCCTCATGTAATTCAGTCAGAGAGCAAAATAGTTGGAGAGTATAATATTTGAGAATTTTTTCTCCTTCAATTAAAAATTTATCACTGATGGTAACGTATTTCAATTGCTAATTTTTATATTATATGTTATTTTATATCCATAGATATATTTAGGGGTGTCTGTCTATCTATGAGTTCATCTGTCCATCTGTGAGTCCATTTGTTCAAGAACTTCTCCTAAATGGTAACAGCTAGGACCACCAAATTTGGTATTCAGCCTCCTCTTATCATAATTTAAAGCTAGGTCAGGGTTTAGTTAACTTAAAGTAAGGTCAGGGTCTGGTTATGGCAAGAAAGTGGGATGTGCCTGGAGTTTGATTGTTTTCCATACGCTCAAAGGATCAGAAGGATGCAATACTGCACAGTCCACGAGGGGCAGCGAGTGCAAGGGACAGTTGTACTGCAGAGTGAACACTAGGGGCAGCCGCACCAGGGAGGAAGTGACCAGATGGGGACAGAGCTCACCACCTTGCTGGTCACCAGTCCAGGTAAGTGATCCTTTTACCCCTAGCCCTTCCTCCCCGGCCCTCACCCCCAGCTCTGGACCGGAGGGGCAGCCAATGTCCCCACACAGAGCACCACCTAAATCTACAGATCCGTTCCCCCCCCCGCAACACTGCTGGGCCACACAATCATCTGCATAGTCACCACTGAGGGCACTGAGTGCAGGGACAGCTGTACATCTTTTAGACAAATCCTAAGAGAAGGACCAGATTTGGAGTTCAGGTGTCTAAAGATGCTGATAGATGCCTAGTTGGATTTAAAAAAATAGTGGGGCATCTAAGGAATTAGGGATCTTTGAAAATCTCACTAGGTTTCTATTTGCATCTTTAGGTGCCTAAATACCTTTCTGAATCTGGCCCTGCTGTCTGGGTTTACAAAAGAACTTAAGCTTAACTTCCACTTTAGTCCCACTGAAATTCACAAAACTCCTACTCAACTGGCAGATGAGCCCTATAGGAACTTAAACTCATTTGATGCCTACATTTTTGCATTAAAAGTTCCCGAGAGGCCTACATTTCTGCCTCTGCACTGCCTCAACTGCATCAAGTGACCAGACACCTGAGCTCCAGAGTGAGTCATAAACTTGTTCCTCCAGGGCTCAGACAAGTTAGAATGCTCAGATCTCATCTACTAGCTTGGTGAGCTTACACAAAATTGCAGTGTAGGGGTGGAAAAAGAAGACAGCTCTCCTGAGCTGGTGCTCTGATACCTCTCTTAGTACTCACCTAGGATGTGGGAGACACCCAATCCTAGACCCCATCATCTACATAAGAACATAAGAACGGCCGTACTGGGTCAGACCAAAGGTCCATCTAGCCCAGTATCCTGTCTACCGACAGTGGCCAGCACCAGGTGCCCCAGAGAGGGTGGACCGAAGACAATGATCGAGCGATTTGTGTCCTACCATCCCTCCCCAGCCTCTGACAAACAGAGGCCAAGGACACCATTTTATCCCCTGGCTAATAGCCTTTTATGGACCTAACCTCCATGAATTTATCCAGCTTCTCTTTAAACTCTATTATAGTCCTAGCCTTCACAGCCTCCTCTGGCAAGGAGTTCCACAGGTTGACTACACGCTGTGTGAAGAAGAACTTTCTTTTATTAGTTTTAAACCTGCTACCCATTAATTTCATTTGGTGTTCTCTAGTTCTTCTATTATGGGAACTAATAAATAACTTTTCTTTATCAGCCCTCTCTACACCACTCATGATTTTATAGACCTCTATCATATCCCCCCTCAGTCTCCTCCTTTCTAAACAGAAAAGTCCCAGTCGCTTTAACCTCTCCTCATATGGGACCCGTTCCAAACCCCTAATCATTTTAGTTGCCCTTTTCTGAACCCTTTCCAAGGCCAAAATATCTTTTTTGAGGCGAGGAGACCACATCTGTACACAGTATTCCTGACCGTCGCTGCACACTGTGTGGAAGTTTTCAGAGAACTGTCCACGATAACTCCAAGATCTCTTTCCTGATTTGTCGTAGCCAAATTAGCCCCCATCATACTGTACGTATAGTTGGGGTTATTTTTCCCGATGTGCATTACTTTACACTTATCCACATTAAATTTCATTTGCCATTTTGTTGCCCAATCACTCAGTTTGGTGAGATCTTTTTGGAGTCCCTCACAGTCTGCTTCTGTCTTGACTATCCTAAACAGTTTGGTATCATCTGCAAATTTTACTACCTCACTGCTTACCCCTTTCTCCAGATCATTTATGAATAAGTTGAAAAGGATTGGTCCCAGGACTGACCCTTGGGGTACACCACTAGTTACCCCTCTCCAATCTGAAAATTTACCATTTATTTCTACCCTTTGTTTCCTGTCTTTTAACCAGTTCTCAATCCAAGAAAGGACCTTCCCTCTTATTCCATGGCCATGTAATTTACACAAGAGCCTTTGGTGAGGGACCTTGTCAAAGGCTTTCTGAAAATCCAAGTATACTATATCTACTGGATCCCCCTTGTCCGCATGTTTGTTAATCCCTTCAAAGAACTCTAACAGATTAGTAAGACAGGATTTCCCCTTTACAGAAACCATGTTGACTTTTGTCCAACAAATTATGTTCTTCTACATGCTTCACAATTTTATTCTTTACTGCTGTTTCGACTAATTTGCCCGGTACTGAAGTTAGACTTACCGGTCTGTAATTGCCAGGATCGCCTCTACAGCCCTTTTTAAATATTGGTGTCACTTTGGCTACCTTCCAGTCATTAGGTACGGAAGCCGATTTAAAGGATAGGTTACAAATCACAGATAATAGCTCAGCAATTTCCCATTTAAGTTCTTTTAGAACCCTTGGATGAATGCCATCCGGTCCCGGAGATTTGTTAACATTAAGTTTTTCTATTTGTTCCAAAACCTCCTCTAATGACACTTCAATCCGGGACAGTTCCTCAGATTCATCACCCAAAAAGGATGGTGCAGATTCAGGAATCTCCCCAACGTCCTCAGCTGTGAAGACTGAAGCAAAGAAATCATTTAGTTTCTCCGCAATGGCTTTATCGTCCTTGATTGCTCCTTTTATAGCTCAATCATCTAGGGGACACACAGGTTTTTTAGCAGGCTTCCTGCTTCTAATGTACTTAAAAAAACATTTTGTTATTTCTTTTTGAGTTTTTGGCTAGCTGTTCCTCAAAATCTGTTTTTGCTTTTCTTATTACATGTTTACACTTGATCTGACAGTGTTTATGTTCCTTTCTATTTATCTTACTAGGATTGGACTTCCACTTCTTAAAAGATACCTTTTTGTCCCTCACTGCTTCTTTTACATGGTGGTTAAGCCACGATGACTCTTTTTTAGGTGTCTTGCTATGTTTTTTAATTTGGGGTATACATTTAAGTTGGGCCTCTATTATGGTGTCTTTAAAAAGTTTCCATGCAGCTTTCTGAAAGAGAATAGGCATCTGCCATCTCTCAGACGAGTATTCCAACCTCTGGAATATAGGATAGTCTGATGTGAGGCTCCTTCAGTCTCCTCTATTGAAGTTCTTTCACTGAGTATAAATAATTTAAAAAAATCATTGGAGCATGAGGACTAATTCCTGAGTCTCCCACGAGTGCTCTAACCACCAGGCTAGCATCTCTCTCTCTCATCCAATAGGTAAGCTGCTGCACTGTGGCTGAATAATGGAAGAATCATTGGGCCAGGGACAGCACAACACTGACTCTGTGCTCTATAAAGCACTGACCTGGGAGACTCAGAATTTAGTCCTCCTGTTCCTATGGAT